TATTTGTGATGTGGCTACTGTCTGAGCACGTAGCTCAGAGCCACGTGGAAATGGGCTTCCTGATGCTTTTGGCTGTGGATCCCATAAGGGCAGAGAAACGTCAGCTCAGGGAGCCACTGCAAAAAATGTTCAATAAATATATAATTGAATACATTGTCTATATTTTATATGTTGTCTGTATTTCATGCTCTTTATATTTTAGATGGTAATATATAATAAATAGCAGTCATCTATAACATACAGGTTCCCCCCCGTATCTGAAAGCAGTGCTCCTATGAAACGTTTCCTAAGCCAAAATAGTGTAAAGCGAAGAAGCAATGACCATTAATTTATATGGAAAAATTTTTAAGCCTTCTCGGGCCCCCAAAATAACTCTCTTAGGCTTTTCTTATACCTTAGGACACCTCTTGCTCATCTAACAGATGCACCCAGTAAACGGTGATAAAGCACAGATGCTCACAGACACAGTTGGAAGGAAGCTGTGGCTGCAGGATGCGGAGATGCTGCTGTAGTTCCCAGGGAGGGAGCTGGGTGGCGCCACTCTGGCTGCTGGGGGGTGCGAGGGCGCGCTCCTGGCAACACACACGCTGAGCGCTAGACTCAAGCTAAGCGCTAGACTCAGGCTGAACGCTAGACACACGCTGAACGCTTTACTCACGCTGGATGCTAGACACAAGATGAGCGCTAGAGTCGCCTTGAACGCGCTAGGTTCACTTCTCGCCACCTTTTGCATAAAGGAGGAAACCCTATTCGGATTTCTATCAGGGAAAACAGGTGCTGATGGAGGCCTTTCGTAAATGGGAGGTGCCATAACGTGAACATCAGAAAAGTGAGTGACACCTGTATATTAATTTATACCAACTGGGTAAAAAATAGAATGATAGTTCCCAAATCACATAAGAGAAATAATACCAAAGACTGGCCTCACGTGCCAAGGAAACGATGTCGATAATTTCACGCCAGCACTTGAAATTTGAGGTGTTAGTAAGCCTTCCTCCTATGGCTCTAGGCCTTGTCTCCAAAAAAGTAGGGTCAGGCTTACAGGATGTGCTACCGACATCTGAAGCGGAGCTTGCCTGACAGGGTATCTTTCCAGGTCTTGGTTTTCTCATTCCACAGTTTCTATCTGACCGCAGCAACAGGTGTGTGGAAAAGGAAACGAGATCCAAAAGGGCAAAGGCCACTTCCTCCTTCTGTCTTACACTCTGGCTGGGCTGGCAGTGTGACGACGAGCCCCCTGGCATGTGCACTGAAGCACACCATCCCAGATGGCCTGAACTTGGCAGCACGTAGCTCTTGAGCAGGTGTCTGGCTCCGTGTTTCTGCTAAGGCTCCGCCTGGGCTTGCTGTTTGCAGGAAATCCAAGGACAATATTCCCGAAGCATACTGGGTGGTATTCTAGCCTGTGCTATAAGCTGGGTAAATAGTGGATAGCAGTGCCTTCCTCTATTTCACACGCTAGAGAAGGAAATCCGTATCTAACAAGCCCCAAACATGGGAAGTATGAAATGGGATTTGTACAAGGACTCAAAGAACAACAGGGAGAACATAATCGGAACTGGAAGGGTCTGCAAGGGCTTTTCTGAAAAGCTAACAATGAACTTAAGCCCTGAAAGATAGAACCAACAAGATATGGAATATGGGAAGGGAATCCCAGGCATGGGAAACAGATCTGCAAGGAAATAGATCTGGCAGGAGGCAGGGGGAGGATGACTCTTTACACAAATAGAAGGTCACCGTGCACATCGGGTGAAGGAGGGGGGGAAGTGACAAAGGCCCATGATATAAATATATAAAATTTATATAAAATATGGTGGAACACAAATCAGAGTGCTAGGATCTAATTTATATATTTTTAAAAATTGTTCTGGCTGCTGTGAAGAGAATGAACGAAAGGGAAGCACGTGGAAATGGAAGGAAAGAAGAGATTCTGATGGTTTAGAAGAGAGTGCTGTTAGTGGAGATGCAGAGAAGCTGAAGAAATTGAGAACTCTTAATGCGAGGGTGATGGAAAAAGAAGGGTCAAGATCAACTTCCGGGTTGCCATTTGGACATAGAGGTGGCTGGAGATGCCATCTCCTGGCCTGGGAATACTGAAGGAAGAACAGGATGGGGGGGCGGGTTGCGTGTGGAAGACAAGGGGAAGGAGATCAAGAGTTCGTTAGGTGCGTTGAGTCAGAGTAGCTGTGAAATGTCTGAGTCCAGATGTCAGCTAGGCTACAGGATATGAGTCAGAAGTTTGGGAAAGTCTTATAAGCTAAAGACATACACTCGACTGTCACCAGCGTTTACAGGTCATGGGGAGCCATGGCTATAAGAATGTGAGGGTACAAGAGAAGAGGATTCAGATCAAACACTCTAACAACCGGCTTTATAGAGGCAGAGGAACAAGCAAAGGGAACTCAGAAAAGTCACAGAGAAGGAGTATGAGAAAGAGAAGGAAAAACACAAGAGGAGGCATCCAGCGGCCAAGGGGCAGGGTGGGGAGGGGCGAGTATGAAGTAAAACGGTTGTCCCCTGTCTCGAATGCCGCTCAGGACGTCTGATCACAAGAGGACTAAAAACCACGCAGTGGGTTGGGCAGCACCGAGGTCTTTCGTAGTCTCACCAGGGACAAATCTGATGGAGAAGTGGGGGCCTAGGCCAACTCGAGTTGGAAGGGTGGGTAATTGGGAACTGAGGAAGAAGGCTCGCAGTGTAGGAAGAACACTGTTTGAAAAGCATGGCTATGATGAAGAGAAACGAGATAAGGCACTAGCTGGAAGGTAGTTTGTTTTTAAATAATAATAAAATGTAAAAATAGTGTTGGCATGTTGGCAGTCAAAGTCCAGGAAAGAGGGAGAAGGCTGGGGGAGTGGGGTACAGAAGAGCTGACCTGGGATGGGATGACACCCAGAGCACATCCCAAGGCACTTATCTTTGAGGGGGGGAGAGAACCCTCCTGAGTGGGGAGGGGATGGGATCCATCTGATTTCTCAGAGAAGTAGGCGGTGAGGTCATCTCCGTGGGAGGAAAATGGACCAGAGGTTTGAACAGAGTGAAAGTGTGAAACAGCCGTGTCATAAAATCGTATGAGTTTATCTGAAAAACATAGTAATGCCACCAAGTGGTATTTGAGTATGGTCATCAGAAATCTGTATAACATCGTCTAGCCCAGTCTGTTTCCACTTCCCTTGTCCTTCTCTGGAATCTCTCACCCAACGCCAGTTTCTGCCATTTTTCACACCCTGTGATGACAGACAATAATCCCACTTTCTAAGACCAACGACTCCCCTAAGAGCTGCATGAACCAATCCTATACTTCAAGCCCCCAGTGTCCGCTCTCCTACGCAGAGCCTCTGTCAAGCTCACCAAAACAATAACAGGAAGGATGGAGGTGGCCCCCTTTCTTGTTTCTGCCCATGTCCCTGGAGTTCCACCTCTCCTTTAGGCCCACACAATATAACACGACTTTCCCTGGGAGGTGGGATTGACACGACTTGCTTCGCTTTTGTGTCTCATGCGAATGATGGAGACAAAAAGAATTTGCAGGTCATGCCGTGTGTGGGCTACACAAAGATAAATAACTACATGGATGAGGAAGGCAGAAAGGCTTGTGGAGAACATGATACCCATTCCTCAGTCCCACAAGTTTTCCAGGAGGACATAAAAATATATACTAATAAGCACCCCAAACAAAGACATCTCATGCTTCCCACGGTTTCTTGCTGTATCAGTACAGAATCTTGGAAAAGCAGAATCGTCCTCTACTGCAGATCGAGACAATCAATCCTTTGACCTGGCTTTGAGCTTTTTAAAGAAAAATATACCAACTACCCAAATGGATTCTTTACTATTTCAAAGTCTGGAGCTAGAAGGAACATACATAAAACTTAATGTGAAAAAGCTGGGTACTTAATCTTGACAAGCAGGCAACCAAGAAATTGATGTGTAGCTGTTAGTCTGACATCAATTTCTGACAATATCACTTTGAGCTCATTCTTTGGCACCAAGATCAAATGCCCTTATTTATAGGTCTCAAACAAAGTAGAGCCTAAAAAGGAAGCTGCATTCAGCAGAAATCCTTTCCACATATTACCCACTAGGACTTACTCTACTCAAACTGATTTTTTTTTTTCTTTTTCTTAGCTTAGTGGAGAAGATGGTGAGCAAGGAAGAACGTGTTCGTTTGCTTTTTCCCTCCAAAACTGGAATCTCAATTTTTAATTTTAGGCTTGGTTTAGCTGTAACTAACTCAGAATGTGAGAAAAAAGTAAGTAAAATATTTCCCAGAGGAAATAAACAAATAAACAGACAAACAAAAAACCCAACTACTACCTTGAATTCTAAAAACTGCAAGTAATTTTTCCCACTTTCCCAAGTAGATATCAGCTAATATTCAGGTTGTGGCTTGAAATGTACGAGTGAGACCTTTTCCAAGGTAAATGTCAACTGTGTTTCATGGGTATTTTCCACTTGGCAGTGTATGAGGATTCCCTGACAACTTCAATGCATTTGTCAAAGAGCAGTGCCCTTGCATTGAAGATAATGGCAAGGCAGGACAGGTGAGGTGAATGGTTCCCATTCAAATTCTTAATGAACAGAAAAATGAAAAGAAAAAAGGCAACCGTGTTTGAATATGCCTAAGTCATCCCTACAGGATACCAGTGGTTAAGAATAAACTTCTTATGCTAAAATCAATCTTTAAAAAACACAGCACAATCAGAAGAGGAGAAAGCCTGTTGGAAAAAAGCAATTCACTCATCTCAAGTAGGTTAAGCCGCCATGAATATCAACCCAGAAAGTTCTATGGGCTCTACTCCCTTAGCATCCGCAGCTCAGTCCCTGACAGTTCTTTGTGAAGAACTTACCTCATCTGAAGACTTTCCTCTAGTACCACTGTCTCTAGGAACATGACACACAAATCCCAAACCATGGGAATTCATACAACATTTAAATTCGACCAAATGGAGCCACCATATTGCTCATAAAAATTGAATTCAAATATACTTTTCTTTTACCTTGGTCTTTTCACCAACGATATTCTTTTCCAGTTCTGCTATTTTCCGATTTAGATGATCCAAAATTTCCTTCTCTTTCATAAGTTCAGTTGTTTCAGATTTCTGTTCTCCATCCAAAAGAGCACATTCCATATCCAACTGAGGACACAAAACAAAGCTCAGAGGTGTTTCACATTCAGAGATTCTCAATTGTCCACTTTAGAGGTGCATTTTTAACAGCCGCAGATTTCAAAAAGTACTACGGTATCAGCCAGACTGTGGGGTCTAGAGTACACCCCAGAGAGTCCAGGTGAGACTCAGAATTCCTATATAAGAAGGCTGGACAGCCCACAATACATTTACTAAGAAATCTACCTATCATTTAATTTTTCTACTGCAACTCCTTCTCTGCTAACTTCTCAAGAGTATTTTGCCTATTTGCTCAGATTCAGGCTCAAGCACAAACCATCTTGGGAGCAGGTGTGTCTGTCTGTGTTTGTCCACAGAGCTTGGGAAGTGAAAATTACACCCGGCCCAGCATGCAAGCGATGCATTCTTAGCAATGCCAGCAGGGGGAGCGTCCAGGGTCTGTGTAGAAGATGACAGGTGAGCAGTCCCCTTCCACTTAGAGCTATCTGCATCATCTGTGAATATACACATGCTCGGCAGAATCATTTGCTCCTTCTCGCTCCGTGGAGGTAGTATGAAAAGTGGCCCTTTCTCCTATAAGAGTAATAGACTATGTGTCTGTCTCCTCTCTGGTTTGCAAATCTCTAGAAAGCTAGGTCTATGTTTGCTGCATATATAAATCCCTCTATAGTCCAACATGACGTCCAACTCTTAGTAAGCATACTCAGGAAATGTTTGTTGGATTTGAACTTGGACACCTAAATGTATGGGGACCTCAGCTGACAGATCCATAGCAAGTCAGAGAGCATACAGCTTTGTTAAGACAAAATTGGTTATACCCAAAGTACATCAAAAATGGCTTCATATGTTTGTCTCATCTGACTTAAGAAAAAAAGACCAGGAAAAAAGAACTATTTTTTTTTTAAAAAGGTATTTTTACCCTGTACTTGGACCCACTGAAAAAAATGTTAACTCATGTTGATTTCTATGTATTCTGCTTCCGAAGCCTATGTCTTAATAGGCAGTAATATTTTTAAGCTAAAGGAAAGGGAGAAACAAGAGAGGGGTAAAAAGTCAACTCCTGGTTTATACCTCTCTGGAAGATTCATCCATCTGGTCATTGATATCTTTGATTTTTTGTTCAAGTTCTTCGAGGTTATTTAGAATTGCTATCCGGGTCTCTTCCATTGCTGCCAACTCCTGAATCCTTTGTTCTTCGTTTATATCCTCTGGGGTCTGCAATTAATCAACACAGAAAAGGGCTATTCACACTTCAATTCCAGAATCTCCCAATTTATAAACCAGTAGGAAGTCTCGGGTTTCACAGTCTCAGTGCCTCTTTGGATTCTAAAAGCATCCTTGTGATTGTTCTGTTGCAATTCTGCATTTTCCCACAAACCCTCAGCAGTGAGGGTCTTAAGTTACCTCATACAAACCAACTTAAATTCACCCATTCACATTCTTTTAAAGCTGAAATAACTAAGTTTGTACAGATGAGGAAGTTAGTCCATAGACATTGTAGTGACTTCTCTAAGGTCATAGAGAAAGTTTGGCACAGCAAAGAATGAGAAGCTAGACAAGACTTTTGACATCTTCCTTAGGGATCTCTTAGGCATGATGCTACCCTCACTCCAAGCTCCACATTCTCTCCCAACTCTGAGTGAACACAGCTCCTACAACGGTTTCCCGAATCTCTAGCCATACTCCGGGGTCCCCCCACTAGGGTTATTTGTGAATGGGCATTCATGCTTATTTGTCTCCTTTCCAACGCAAGGTGGAAAAGTGAGGGCATGATACGCTTGGCCCCTCGCACCTCAATGTTCCATAAAGTGAATAACCAGGACAATACAGCCCTTATTATTTTGGTGACTCCCAAAATGACTGAAAACTATACACTTAATGTGAAGGTAATTCATGTTTCACTTCTTGTGTTTGCACATTACTTACTGTCTTTATCCTACAGCACCTTCTTCCTATATAATGTTTAAGACACTAACTGGGCCAATGGGCTTTTGTGACACAAAATAGGACACTGGTCATCATTCATAAAGTCATTTCACAGAAAAAAAAACTTGAGTTCCTTGGCAAAGAATGAGAAAGGCAGGAAAGAACCTGAGTAAGAGAGGACATACTTAAACTCTTCAACAGAGAGATGACAGGTGCCCAGGGAAGAAAGGAGTATTTGGGATCAAAATTTGACAGCCTATTGTTTTAAGAAGAGAGTATAATGAATTGAAAATCGCCTCTTCTTTCAGCCATTTCAGGTTAGTTATCCTAGATATTGCCTGGTAGAGATCAGTCTTTCTGTAAGTCAAGGGATGCTGGGGTATCGATACATTACTTATTCAATTTTTATCTCTCTTTGAAAAAGTAATTTCTTTTCATTTGTAAGTCAGCCATGAAACAATTTCACAATTGGACACTGAACATAGCAGACTTGATAAGTAAATTATTGAGGTTTACTTATCAGTCAGTGCCAAGAATATTCATATTAACCAAAGAAATCATTAACATTTAGTATGTCACACGAGGTTCATTTATTTAATGATTTTTTAAAATTTTATTTATTTATTCATGAGAGACAGAGACAGAGAGAGAGGCAGAGGGAGAAGCAGGCTCCCAAGGAGCAGGGAGCCTGATGCGGGACTCGATCCCAGGACCCTGGGATCATGACCTGAGCTGAAGGCAGGCGCTTAACCATCTGAGCCACCCAGGCACCCTATTTAATGATCTTGAAAATAACTTCAAGAAGAGAGCCAGCATGTGGCATTCTTTATTCATATTCTTTGTTCTTTACCCTACTTCACTGCCCCTTAAGGAGATCAAACAATTGAGATGTCACAGTATCTCAGGGTGATTAGCAAAGGTACGCAGGCCTTCCAAGCTTTGACATTTAGACTTTTAATTGCCATCTTAAATCCAGTATCTTGCCAATTAATAAAACAACCGCTGACCTTTTTATCACAATGAATCTCATTGTCTTAATACTCAGGTACCTGTTTTAGGGCGTGAGGAAGGCCTGTAACAGTGAACGGCATTCCAAAATCACTGACGTGTAATCCTAGCAGGAAAGGCCCAAGAAGGCCAGTATCCTGTTGGGTAAACATTACATATTGGGTTTCAACTGCCAACATGGTTTAAAAATATCTCTCTCACTGGTGGAAGTCAAGCATTAAGAGCAAACAAATGCTGAACAATCTGCAAAACCATGAACTTTCTAAGCAAAGAGAGGGTGAAGAAAGGTGACAGTGGCGATTATAAATGTCTAACTCAAAGTTTCTAAACAACTGACCACAATAGGCATCGTTGATAACAGACCATTTGAGAGGCTATTTATAACAATCAATGCTATCTAGGAAATGGTTGTTCTTTTTTGTTATTTATAAAGAGCAAAATCTTCAAAAGGCATTCTAAAACTCTGAATGGTTTGCGATGGAATGGAAGGAGAGTATTGTTCACACACGTACGAGCATCCCCAAATATGCCATCTGTGAGGCAACCTGATCTCCACAGAGAAAAGGGAGAGAGGGTAGGAACGAGACACTGTATCATATGCTTCCCCCCCCAAAAATCTCTTCTTAGAAACTCCTTGCAACCAGAGGAAGTAGCAAGTGTGAAGGCTGTCCACTGTAGACAAAATGATTACTCAAGAAGAGAAGAGGGAAAAAGTTCTCAAGGAAAAGAACTTCTTTTTTTTCCCCAAATAACAATATGAGGTGATGGATGTTAAACTAAGCGTGGCAATCATTTCACAACATTTGTAAATCAGGTCACAAGGCTGTACACAAAACGCCCACAGTGCTGTGTGTGTGACTTAAATCCTAACACTATGGAAGAAAGAAGAGTGAGCTAGTCTCAGCTTTCACCTCAGGCAGCAGAAGACAGGTTCACAAAAGCCAATTAAAATTAGCACATTCCAGGGCGCCTGGGTGGCTCAGTCCATTAAGCGTCTGACTTGATTTTGGCTCAAGTGGTGATCTCAGGGTCCTGAGATCGAGCCCCGGGGCAGGTTCCGTGCTCAGCAGGGAGTCTGCTTGAGATTCTCTCTCTCTCCCTCTCCCTCTGCCCCTCCCCCTGTGCTCTCACACTCTCTAAAATAAGTAAATCTTTAAAATATAAAATAAAATAAAATTAGCATATTTCTAAGGTCATCTGTATCTTTACGTGTTAGCTTAAACAAGTTCCAGAACAGTAAATCTTAGGTTTCCTAAATGTCATCAAAATCTTTGTTTCCTTAAATCAATGTGTTTGTCACATTCCTCTCTTCTCCACTGATCCTTAGATTGATTAATACAAACACTGTCCTTTGCTAAGTAAACAATTTAGTGAGCAGATTACTAAGAAGAAAAGCATCCAAAACAATGGTCAGGACTTAATAAAACATTCTTTTATCTGCTGTCCTGGGGTAACATGTATCTGTCTCCAAAAAGTCATACATGCAAACCTCCGTCCTTGGAACTCATCCCCTCCCTTGCTCTCTGCCTAAGCTGCTGCGTGGTAACCAGAGGCGCCTTTGATATTTCCTGCCTCCAAAGGATGCACAGTCTTATATGCCTTGCCTCAGCGGAGGCTGCTCTAAGCTTCAGAGGCCTCCTTTTCCACAAAAGCATATTTGGGCAATTAAAAACATCTGCCACCATCTGCCTGTTTACACACTAGCAGCTCTCGTCCCAGCCCTCTTGAGGAGGAAACCTGTCTCCCAAAAGATGGTCCTTGAGAGAAACACATAGCTCACTGTTTTAACAAAAATCTGGCAGCTGTCCATGATGGAAGAAATGGGAAAGGATTTTGAATGAAAAGGAAGTCAAGGACTTCAAAGGGAGCCAAAGGCTGATGAAAACAGCTCAAGTTTTCAAACGGTGGGTCATTTACTTTGCCTGAACACAACCAACATTTGATTCCGCCCCCCATCCTAGTTTCTAACAGTTGCATTTCTGGTAATAGAGACAGATGTCCTATTCTGAAGTACTCTCCATGGAGAATGAGTAAGGTCACTGCAGTCATTAGGAGAAAGAAGGACTGAACATTTCCGAGTCCTAATACTGATGATGGGAGAACTCAGAAGGTAGGCACGGACTCCTGACAGGGAACACTGAGTAAAAAAGTCAAAACAAACACACAAACTCCTCCTGAATAATACTCCAGATGATAAACTACCTCCAGAATTTTGCACATGATAAGGTCTTTCTCTTAAACAGTTTATGTCCTTCTCTTACAACAAAAATTTAACTGATGTATTTTTTTGTTTTTGATTCTTTGGCCATAATTGTCGAGAATCTTGGAATTGAACTTAATGGTCAGAGTTACTTAGTTAATTAACTGATCCTGTTTATTTAAATAAATAAATTCTTGTGATTATGACATCTGTTTTTTTCTCCTAATTACTATTTTTTGTGTTAATTTTATTCCAATAAAACTTACATTTTCTTGTCACTCTCTTAAATCCTTTATAGGAAACAGGTAGGAGAATTTATTTTAATTTCATAGAAAAAAGATTCTTGGGGCACTTGGGTAGCTAGTCAAGTAAGCATCTGACTCTTGATTTTGGCTCAGGTGATGATCTCAGGGTCATGAGATCGAGCCCTGGGTCAGGCTCTGCGCTGGGCATGGAGCCTGCTTTAAGATTCTCGTGCTCTCTCTCCCTCTGCTCCCTCTTCACACACTTGCATGCTTGCACATGCTGTCTCTCTCTCTCTCTCCTAAAACAAAAAAAGAAAAAAAAAAACCCCACGGATTCTTAACCTGTGTGAAAAAAGTAACACCAAAAGATTTTCCTCTAATTCCATTTAAGAAATCTTCAAATTTGGAAGCATTTGGAAATCAATATACAGCCAGAAGACTAAGTAATAATTATGATTACATATGAATCTTACTCTTATACATCCAAAAAATATCGTAAGTCAAGTCAAGGGGGGAAGACCACTCATGATAAAAGACTAATTTCCTTACAAATAACTCTTACTACTTAGTAAAAACAAGATAAGAAATTTTTTAAAAAATGGGTGAAGAACATGAGTAAGTGGGTCAAAATACAAATTCACAACTAAAAATATGAAAAGATGTCCAACTTTATGCATAATTAAAGACAAGCAAATTAAGACACCAATTAACTTAGTATATTGAAAAATTTTGAAAATGTACAGCCTTGGCAAGTGTATGGAGAATGAGGCATGCTCATAAACTTTTGGTAGAAGTGTCACCTGGAAATACTTCTGAGAGTATAATTTGGAAATACTGATTAAAATGAATAATATACAAACTCTTTGATCTAGCAATTCCAATTTTAGTAAGTGATCTTGTAGATACATTTGCACAGTATTCGCTGCATATAGATTTTATTAGGAAAAAAGCTAGAAACAATTTAAATAGTATTTCCAAACAATAGAATACTAGTCAGCTATTAAAAAGAATGAGGCAGACCTGTGTCTACTAAAATGCAAAGATATGCAAGACATTTAGTGAGGAAAAGAAAAAGAGCAGAACACCGTATGTTTGCATCTGTGCGTCTATGCCTATAACACGTGGCTGTATATGCACAGAAATATGAAGAAGGAAGGTAAGACACGTTTGTGTTTATTTCTCAGGTGTACAACTGGGAGGGGGCAGAGAAAAGAGAAACATCCCTCTTTTGAGTTTTCTTTACCGCTGCATTTCTTACGGTGCACAAATTTGTTACTTTATAGTAAACGCCCTAATTTGCTGCACCTTGTTTAGCTAATTACCTCTTAAACTGAAGCTTCGCTGAAAACATTTTGGAAAACAAGAACGGTAAAACCTCTAGTCTCTGGGCCAATGCAGATGCAGAGCCCCAGGGCCTAAATACTGTTTTTTTTTTTTTTTTTTGCTCTGTCGCCTTTACCTTCGGTAGGATACTAAGATAAGCAGACTCGCTGGAAGTTTTCAGAAAGGCAGGCGTGAGGTCCCTGAGCAGGTCATCATTCCTGATGCTCCTGGGGGACAGGAAGCCAGCACTGTTCTGCCCGACGCTCCCGAAGATTGCCGAGTCCGCATCGTGGAGAGAGCCTTTCGGGTGGCACCTGTACCTGGCGTCAGGGCTCACCATGGCTTCTTCAAACACGGACTCCTCATCAGAGAGCTGCAGCTTCTCAAGCTCCTTATTGATCTTCTGCACATCGGCCACAGTGGTGCCCGTGGACAAGCGACTGTCGGGCTTTGTGTATTCAGCACAGAGACTGAGGATGGTCTCCAGACGCTGTCTCTCCTAGAACACAGAAGAGGGGAAGGTCAGAGAGCTTGTGAGAATAAAGACAATCACAAAGAGAAAGACTGAAGAGGCTGGGACTGCTGGCAATTACATCCCACAGGTAAACCCACAGACAGTGGGCTGGTGATGAGTTTCCATCATCTCAGATGGATGCATTTAAGGATCCAGATGAAACCCAGGTGAAAAATGCCTGATTTTCTTCCCAAACTCAATTCAAGCTGTCCCCTCTCCTTGGATGTCCCAGTGCTGATCCCCCCACGTAGCAGCCCTCGGTAAGCCTTTTCTTGATTTATTAGTTCTCTGAACATTTCAGTCTTTTTTTCAATCTCCTTTTAAAAAAATCTTCACTCCCCCTTCCTTCTCTACTGCTCTGCCTCCAACATATCTGGCTCTTCCATCACTATCGACTTAACACTTGCGCTTAAAGTTAATTCTCTAGCATCCTAGAGAAACAGACACACAAAAAGAAAAATACTACTTAAAGAATCTTCTAATTTAAGAGAATTTTTTCCTGAAATTTTTTCAATATTTTTTGACATGCCTCAAAATTTTCAATACTTTTCTTATGTCTTGTCATGAGATAAAGGTCTTTTCCACCAATTTCTAACATGAGTAATTAAAATTATAAAGAAGTAGAACTGTTGCATAAAAATGGAAAAACTTTTCATGTCACGTCCAGTAGAAAGACAGCAATGTATTTCAGATTCTGAAATCATCTTGATTCATTTAACTGCAACATAAAATGATAGTTCATTTGCTTAAAAAAAAATCAATATATAGGCCATTGGTGTCTATAATGGTACTACTTACTGACACTTCACCAAGCTCCCCATACAAAACAAGTGGATATTTATGGTTTTTGACTTTAAGTAAAATCACTATATATTTGTGAGCAATAGTATATAATTTATGAAATGTTTATCATAAGCCTCGACAGAACTGTTTGGGGTGGGGAACTTTAACATCTCTGCCTCGCACATTAATTCCAAGGCCAGAGTGAAAAGAAAAATAATAAAATAACAAAAAAAGTCTGTTGTGATTACATCTACCACATTGAAAAAAAAAATCAAAAGCCTTCCCTAGAAAAACATTTTCCAAACTGGTTATCAGTAACAACATAGAAAATTTTTAAGTACCACTGGGCTACTGTATTCAATTTCTAACTGCAGCTAATTTGTAAAGACAAAATTCTGAAGGCAGTCAGCTCTTTGCCAGTTGAAGGACTGACTATCCAACAGCAAAGTTAAATAGAAACAGACCAACATAATGCCCTGGTTTCCATTAAATACACTAATTAAATGACAAGACAGAAGTCATTTAAGTTGTGTCTAACTTTCCTCTGTCCTCTAAAGTATGCCCCCTTCACCCCTGCAAATGCAATCGCTTGATCAAAAGGGCTATCACACCAGCTCCTCTAAGCCCCCACCTCCCGTTCACTGCCTGAACTTCTGGCCTCCAGCTGCAGCTCGGTCCTCATGGCCTCGTCCCACGGCAGGCGCTCATAGCTGCACAGCCTCCTCCCGCGCACTTCTGCACCCAGTCCGTCCAGGAGCCCCGGGGCTTATTTATCTCTGCAGCTGTTGCCAGCTGCCAACCCCTACGTACCTCAGCTTTATGGGGAGGAAGTAGTGGGGGCACAGCATTCACTGCCTTATTTTAAACTTCTCCAATGACAGAGAAAGTTCACTTGGGAATATGCAAAACCCATGTGCAAGGGCATATTTAAGGAGGGGGACAGGAACAAGACCCTATATTTTACCCCTTCTCAATAGCATCTGCATGAGAAACTAATGCTAATTTCCAAAGGAAAGTTCTCTTTCTGCCATTTAGGTGACTTAAGCTGAAGCACCCAAACTCCGTCCCTACTGACCTTTATAGAGCGCAGTGTGTATACATTAGCCTGGACATTAATTACACGTGGGATTATCTGAAAGTTGTCAATTCCCACTTACCAGGGCTTCAGGGAACAGTATGGTCTTCAAAATCACGGAAGGCACTTCTGCCTCGCCTGTGATACATAGCAAAATCCCTCCCACATCTCTCCCAAAATAGTTTCTTCTGCTGCCAGTGCTCTTGCTTAATTCCACAGGAATAAATGATCCCAGCCTTAAGATGAATGCTATTTCAGACAGTGGAACGCAGTATTCAATGGCTTGTGCACAGGAAGTGTGGTCTACTGGTATGTGGTTCTCTCTATTCTTATCACCCCATTCACAGCCAATCTGTCCAGGCTCGAATCACACACACAAGCCACACTGCCGCCCGTGAGTCTCAAAGAAATCCAGGCTGCGCTGAGACACGCTGGCCCCATAAAAGCTGCACCAAAGAAAAATAAACTGATGTCAAGAAGTGCGTCAGAAGAAAGTCTGCAAGGCATTTCAGAAAGCACTATATGCAGCCTTTTAAGGAAAACCCTGTACAGAACGTACCCTCATAAAATAATTCTCCCCGGAGCCCTCTTCACTCTGGAGTCTTGTTCTTTCCCATCCATCACTCCAATATTCTCCATTCTGGGGGGGCCTAAAACCAGGGCACCCATTCCACACCAGGACGCCTTTGAGAACCAAACAGGGCACTATGAATAATTACTCTGGAACGCCAAGCACCAGCAGGGACTGAGATGGACGGCCCCCCACCTAAAACCCAATTGCATCTGGCACTTCACCTGGCCACCTGCCAAGTTGGGAGGGCCACCCTCCTGAAGATCTCCAGTTTCTGCCCACCTCTCCCAGCCAGTGTTCTGCTGTGCCTTCTTTTGAAAAGCCACCAGTGCAAGGCCTAGGCATCTAAATGGCACAAAACATTGGTGCTGTGGCCTTGGAAAGTAGGTCATTTGAATCAAATCATTTTAAATACATTTTTAAATCTCCCTATTTTCCCTTTCCTCCTCTCCTCTTCAATATACTGCATATATCAAAGAAAGCTTTGAAGGGGACACGGGATCTTAAAATATATACCTGAAGAAAATGGTGTGCAGTTCTTTTCCTAAGCAATTAAAAAAAAAAAAAAAGCTGCAGACTGAGTGTGTTTTGACCTCAGAGCTTTCTGTCTTTTTCCGAGGAATGTGTCTGGCAGTGCCTCTCGGCAGCTCTTGGTCAGGGACCTCATCCATCTCCCAGCCCCATCCATCCCCTGGTAACCGACAGCAGCCAGTCTGGGCCACAGGACTGGAAATGCAGTGCAGAAATAAATTACATAGAAAACCAATTGCCCGATACCCAAGCACAGTTGAAATCTTTGTTGAACTCCTTGTGTTATAATTAACTATGTTGGGTCACTCATTATATAAAAACAAGGGTCAACTTTTAATGGCTAGAAATAACTTAGTTGGAAGAAGATATTTTTTCTGAAGAGGACCTGCTGTAACTGCTGAGTATGACCTTACTTCTCTCTCTCTTGTTAACCCTAGAGATTCAATATCTCCATAATCGCCAGTTCATCAAAGATCTGTTAAGCTACTCTCAGGCCATTACTGTGCTGGAGACACAAGGACAGAAAAAGACAGCATTTCTACCCTCACATCTTTAGCGGAAAGCACAGTTGATCAATCAAAGAAAAGGGTGCTAACAGATTTACAGAAAACCAACAGATTCACATATAAGGAAGTAGTTGACCAAAATTATAGAAAGACAAATTTGAGTTGAGACCCTGGGATAAATATGAGTCTGTGTGGTCTGTTGGCCAGTGGGGTGGGCTGGGCATTTCTATAAAGGAACCATATAAGCAAAGGCATAGAGCATGGGCTAATAGAGTGTGCTCGGGGATCAGCAACTACTGTGTGGCTAGAAAGATGGGGTTCTTTAGAGGAAGAGGGACGAGGTACATGCAGAGAAGTGGGTCAACTTTCTCTCTCTGTATACCAGGACTTACGAGCTCCCAATAACCCTGAATAAAAAACCAAAGAGAGTCAGAGACCCTGGCCTAAAGGTGGATGGCAGAATGAGATGGAGCTGACAGCACGTAAGCATTATTTTCAGGATTCCATGAGCAAATTCCGAAGTCTCATTTAGGTAGGACAATGAGGAGGAAAAACAGAAGCAATGGTTAAAAGTCTTTTACGCGAGTCTGTTTGTTTTTGGAGATAAATCCTTTGGGGTAGTAACTAGGGCTATGATGATCAGTTCTTGTCTTTTTGGACACAGGGTAAAACAGTTTCTCAATTTCCCACTCCTAAACTAGATAGGACTGTCAAACTTGCACGGGCCCATTACGTGTGAAAAGCAATGTGTGTCCCTTCTGCCTGGACAGCTAAGACATGATCCATTACATGTCTTGCTTTGCCATGGCAGAGTGACACTCCAGATGGTGCTGGCTCCCTGAGCCTTGGCCCTGAGCAAGGAAATACAGAGCAGAGGCCTCATTCAACCCATGCTGGCCATGGAGAGTGAAGGAGAAATAGACCTACGCTATTTTAAGCCTGACATAATTGTTTTCTTTTGTCTCCTCCACATCATGATTGATAAGCCTTGCTTAATTTCAAGCAGGTTATGGGCCCAAAAGTTGGAGACAAGAGCCTCAGAGATCCTACTAAAGGCAGCTCATTTATTTACTGTGTAATAAAGAATTTGGCTTTGCCCAAAGAGAGGTCTGGCCTTCACTGCTGGACTGTTGGCTTCTGGAAGGTAATCTATGTCATACCTGATGGGATTGTCTTTGTTTAGGACAAAGTGGGGCACTCCTGATAATCAATCTCAGGGTGAGGGCTGGCCACTCCACGGTCATGATTTTTGTGGGATTTTTATGGGGGCCTGGGAGTCATGTGTTATCAGTCAACCTGGAGATGAGACTAACCAAGTGGACAATCAATCCATCATGCCTACATGATGAAGTCCCAGTAAAAACTCTGGACACTGAAGCTCAGGAGGTCTTCCCTGGCTGCCCACACTCCATGGGTACTGCCACACACCAATGTGGGTAGCGTATCACACCCTGACTCCACAGGGAGAGACCAGCGGAAGCTTTGCATTTGGAACCTCCTGACTCTGCCCCTCTACTTC